CACACACACACACACACACACACACACACACACACACACACACTGACATGCAGGGCTTTTCTCTCAATCTTCTCACTGTGCCTGCCTTTTCACTTATGTGGCTATTTATCTCAGCACACAGCAACCCTTCACAAGCCCCACCTCGGACACCCATCTGTTGTTCCCTGTATTAAAAGTGAACAGTGCTGTATAACATAAACCTGCATCACATTTCTCATATTTCACTGTTAAAACTCCAACAGCTGCACTAAAATGAAGGGAAAACACCTCATTTAAATTCTGAAAGTCCACGACTTTCACAAGCAGTTACAGGTTCACAAGTTGAATTCATGTCTGAGGTTTGCTATGAAGGTTATTTTAATGTTTAAATATATAAGAATCCTTTCAGATCAAGTCAAAGACGACACATTCGATTCAGTCCTGCTAATTCATCTGGATAAATGTAAAAGTGAGTACAGTGAACACAACACATCCTCCTCGCCCAAACTGAAAGACGCTGCTATCAAACATCAGAGCAGAAACATCGAGAGAAAAATGAGGAATTAAATATTGGTTCCAGTAATTCTGATGAATCCTCTTTCAGATTTCTAGTCAGACATAATCCACCTACCTTGCTGCAGCGTGACATTGCCGGCATGTGAAGCAAAAGAAATGAAACTTTCATTCAAAGAAAGCTTCAAGTATTTGACTGTTGAGGACAGCTTGCCGTGACAGACAAGTCCATCAGCATCTCACAATCAGTCACTGCGGTTACTTGCTCCACCTAAGGCATATCCTCACCCAAACTAGTGCCCGCATTTGCACTGCAGCTCCAAAGCTCGTTTCGCTAATCTGCAGAGTGAGGTCGTCAAAAACTCCCAAACTATAGCAAATATTTAAACGATTGGATGATGATTAAGATTGTTTGAGCAGAGCTCTTTAATAGTGTTTCCCATTAAATGCAGTCAGGTAAAAGTCCCCCACTGGGGTATTTTTTTTGACTAAATAAGTACGCTTCGATACTGTGGTCAGTTGTGCTTTCTGACTAATTCTCTACATCGTCTATTTTCATGAAGACATGAAAGTACTGGCTGAGGTGAGCGCTGCCAACACTGCATGTGTTACTGAAATATTTGATGAATGAAACTGCGAGTGTGTGCGTAGTTCCACATCATCACTCGTTACTACTCTCAGGTGAAAACCCCACAGCAGGCTGTCGAACGGTCGTTAAAACCATCGGCGCACCGGCAGTTTGAGTCATAGCCAAACAGACCAACGCTGACACTCATTACAATAGTTCTCTCTTGGTTATCTCAGAGTTTGTGTGCCTTCCTCCCACTGTAAGGACTAAACTGCTGAAAGCACGTCGAGAGGAAAAAGAGAGAGAGACTTCTCATTTTCATTTCAGGGTGGAACGGAAACGAGACAGATGTGTATCAAGTGAGCCTGAGACATATTTGGGTTTCGTTGCACAAAGTGCAATTAGGACTGCGCTGCTCAACTATTTAAATGTGTGATTTCAAGTAACTAGTAGTAACTAGTAATTACTAAAGAGTGACAGTCAACCTGGCAACACTCCAGTATTTATTTATTCAAACATGGAACAGTTCATTTCATCCAGAAAACGAATACGTGTAAGACTCAACCCTGTTTCAGAAATAACTTCATAAACTTAATAAACAGTAAAAGAGCAAATGTAGACCAGTTTCATGAGGATTTATGTGCAAATTGTCATGACCATTGCCACGACCCCTCCTCGGTTCAGAACCTACTGATGCATCGCTGCTGGATTTCAGCCCTGGGGTTTATAAAGAAAGGCCTGAAAAACGAATGGATCCATCCTGCCTTGTATTAACGGTTCAGGCTGATAGTGGTGGTGTAATGGTGTGGGAGATACTTTCTTCCACTAATACCAAGTGAGCATGACAGCCTACCTGCTATCGTTGCTGACCGTGTCATTCTATGGCCGACAGCTGCCTTTGGCCGAACAGCGTGTCACAAAGCTCAAATCATCTCAAACTGGTTTCTTGGACGTGAATGAGTTCACTGTACTCAAATGGCCTCCACAGTCGCCAGATCCCAACCCAGCAGAGCATCTTTGGGGTCTGCTGGAACGGGAGATTCACGTTGTCACGCAGTAACCATGTGACTCCCTATGAACCAAAATGTATCCATCTACACAACGAATTGAGGCACTTCTGAAACTACAAGGGGTCCAACTAGTAAAAGTGTATATAAAATGAAATCAAATAGAAACGGCTTGATTATATTTTCACATACTGAGGAAATCTTATAGACAGAGTTCTTGGTAAAAACACTCGATGTGGAAACTTACAGCCTTATATTCAGGTTTTCTCGCTGCTGCGACCTCAGAGATCGTACTCGCTTCTGCCCACACCGCAGCTTCGCCTACACCAATAAATGGACATCTTCCTGAAGTGACACCTTTGGGTATGAAAATGAGCTTCAGATCAAAGTGAAATAAAAACATTCTTCAAATTCAGTGACCAGTAGCGATAGATTTAACGCAGGAACAGTGAATTTTTGTTTCAGAAGCTTCATAACAAGGGGACAAGCTGCAGTTTATTGACTGACCCTCGAGACTACGATACATTTGACCTCTGTTGGTATTAAAAAATATATATATTGCAAGTTCAAAAGATCTCTTTTGGGGACAATGGACCAAATTTATGCACGCACAATATACAAGAACATGACAGCTCATGGCGATGACTGTATGTTTTATTTGTTACGTATCGGAAATAAAATCCACTAAGCAGAACCTCTGTAACCACTATCTACTAAAAAAAACACTGCAAATGACCTCTTCTCTGCTGCAGCTTATTGAAAAGTACAACAACCACATGAGCTCCTCTCAAACAAAGTGGAACAAATTTGTGTGAGGCAAATCGAGTCGCTGAGCAGTGCTTAGAAGTCAAAGGCAATGAGCACGACCTGAGATCATGCACAGATACATGATGTAAAACTCTGCTGTTCTCAGAGGATGCATCCTACAAACACGTGTGCACTTTGACCCCAGATCCTGCTGCCACGCTGCCTCGGTGGGACAGAAAAACAGTCCAGCAGCGAACACGATACTTTGATCTTTAAATAAGAGCCGGCAGGCAGACAAAACAACCTCGATCCAGGAATACTCACAGCTGGAATTTGGATCTTCTCATTTTTACTCTCCTCTCCTGGTTGATTTTGACATCACAGGAGCAGTCGCGCTGCCTGGCATGATCATCAATGAAAAGAGGAGCATGAGTCAGAGGTAGCAGCCCACTCAACAACCACAAACACACACGCAGAGAGTTCTAAGTAACCGACCATGCTTACGT